CTCCTCCTCCTCCTCCTCCTTATCATGACACATCATCCATTGATAATGATGACGATGATGTTTCAAGGTAACATACAGTGGGACTCGGATTCAACGAGGTCGCCGGGCCTGACGTAAAATCTCGTTGAATCCGAGTGTTCGTTATAGCAAACATGAAGTTTTGTATAGATAACTACAGACACTGAGCCAGTAATGTATAAATTGAAGTCACAAGTAGTGCCTGAAATGCCTGCATATTATTATTATGAGTTGTGTAAAAAAAAAAAAAAAAGACCGATTCGTTCAAATGCACACGCCTGTGTCATCAAGATTCTTTACCAACAAGTTGTGTTGCTGTGTAGAGCCTAGCATACGGCAACTTTTGATTCCATAGACCAGCACACAATTCATTACGTAGATCTACGTCAAGACTAGCTTATCATTGTAATATAATGATTAGTTGCTGAGGGGGAAAAAGACTGTGACGTGTTTGTATCTGCGACGTTCAACGCCCGAACTGCTAATGCCCCCCACCCCCGACACGTACAAACAGTCACACGTGTGCATGTCGCCTATCCGACCCCGACACACGCCAGAGTAGACACGTGCGTCGCGTGCAACAACGCTACGCGTGTGTTGGTATGAAAAAAGGCCGCTGATTGGTCGCATGCAATCGTCTAAGTGAATAATGGTTCACGAGGCAGGTGCAATGGATGGTTTCCGAGAAAAGATTAAGTTCATTCTGGGACAAAAATGAGCGAAGCCACGTCTGCAGGGGCTGTTCACACTGGAAGCAACCTCGTTGAATCCGAGCTCGCTGATTTTAAGTGCTCGTTGAATCCAGGTTATTTAAAAAATTGATATTAAAGAAGAAAAAACCGGAGGATCTCTCTCATCTCGCTGTATCCGAGTTCTCGTTGAATCCTAGCTCGTTGAATCCGACCGAGTTCCACTGTAGCTGTTATTTTTCTTTTCTTTATAGTTTATTATTTTTTTTAAATGATATTTCATTTGTTCTTCTTTCTGTCTATCCCCAGATGTCTTCCAGAACGCAATTGAGCATCTTGGCCGTGTAGATATCATGGTGAACAATGCTGCTATTGTGAACGAAGGGTCCGGCTGGCAACGGGTGATAGCTATCAACCTGGTTAGTTTGTTATGTCAGATGATGATGGTTGTGATGGTGATGGTGGTGATGATGATGAAGTTCAAAACAGGGTGAAACGTTCAATTTAAAAAAATAAAAAATTTCAAAACATTTAATTTCATAAATCAAATATCCAAATCTTTATCTAATTTCTGTTGTTGTTGTTGTTGTTTTTGTTGTTGTTGTTTTTGTTGTTGTTGTTGTTGTTGATGATTATGATGGTGATGATGATGATGTTGATGACGACCACGACGACGACAATGGCGACGATGATGATGGTTAGGCCCAAACTGGGCGAGACACCAAACGTGTATAATATCATTATTATTTCAAAATGATTTGCATTTGTTTTAGACGGCTGTGATTGTTGGCACAAAACTGGCGGCCGCCCACATGAGGAAAGACAAAGGGGGGAAAGGAGGAAGGATTGTTAGTACTTTGTCTGTTGCAGGTGAGCGCAGGGGATTATTTTCTGCAAAGAAACAAACAAACAAACAAATAAACAAACAAGCAAACAAACAAACACACTAATAAACAAACAAACAAACAACAAAAAACAAGCAAAACAAACAAACACGCAGGTAAACAAACACATAAACAATAATGAACATAAGAACAAACAAATAAACAAACAGATAAACAAACAAAGAAACATTCTTGAATCAAAGAAACAAAGAGGCGAAATCACAGCTACAGAACTGTTATTTGAATGGGTACGTTTATTTCAGGTGTGCTGTTGTTGTTGTTGTTGTTGTTGTTGATGTTGGTGGCTTCTGCTATTTTCCTTTTTGTTGGCGTCGTTGTTATTGTTGTTGTTGTTTTTGTTGTTGTTGTTGCCATTTGTCTCGTCTTTGGTTTGTTATAAATTGTTGTTGTTGTTGTGACTGAGTATTTTCTGCACTTCTAGACACATGATATCTATATGGTTCACCTTACCATACTGTACCATACCATACCATACCATACCTTACCATACTGTACCATACCATACCATACCATACCATACCATACCATACCATACCATACCATACCATA